TACACAACTTTACACCGATGGCTCCAAAGAAGGTGAGAAAGTGGCAGCAGCCTGCTGTACTGCCAATACTTGCACTTCAGTCCGACTACCAGACGGCGCCTCCATCTTTTCTGCTGAAGCATGCGCCATTGGTTTGGCCCTCGACCATATCGATGAACACCGCATTAAAAAGGCAATTATTTGTTCAGACTCTCTATCTGTCCTACAGAGTTTACAGTTACGAGATCCTAAAAACACAATCGTACAAAACCTTGCTCATCGAATATCTCGTATATTAAAAAAGTCTAAAATAACTTTACTATGGATTCCGAGCCATGTCGGAATAAAAGGCAACGAATTTGCTGACAGGGAAGCAAAAAATGCATTGAATCTCGAACAAACAAATATCAAACTACCATACACAGATTTTAAACCTACTATTCGTACAGCCATTCAAAATGAATGGCAGAAACGCTGGTCTCTGGAGACCAACAACAAACTTTTTAAGATACAACCGAAACTTAAAACATCTATTCCCAGTCGGAAAGATCGTAGAGAGGAAGTTGTCCTCGCTCGGCTCCGCACTGGGCACACATATCCTACTCATTCGTACCTTTTAAAACGAGAAGATATACCTTCATGCCACGCATGTGACACTCCATTTACAGTGGAGCATTTTTTAATAGAATGTTCCGATTTTAAACACATTCGTGATAACTACTTCCGAGTCCCGGATATGAAAACACTTTTCAGTTCCGTGGATTCGAAGGCATTATTTAACTATTTGAAAGACATCGGTCTATTTTATAGACTCTGATGTCTTTTAACCCACCTTATCCTTTTTGACGTTATATATATATCGCATATTCCATATCATCTATTCGTTATCTCTTTTATTATTTTAACCCCCTTTTATTATTTTCAATTATCTACACATACAATGCGAATACTTTTAAAATGAACCATTTTATCTGATTTTATCTTCGCTATTCACATGTTTGTTAAAAAAGTAAAATAAATAAATAAATCACCATGGCCCTAAATGACCACAGCCGTCGATGGGCCGTTAAACATAAACAAACAAACAAACAAATATATAGCTGAACTTGACGTTTGACATGTACTATGATGCGAGTCTCGTTTCCTTCCACTTCCATACTTGCTGGTCTAACAGAAATGTAATAGAATGTTCCGATTTTAAACACATTCGTGATAACTACTTTCTAGTCCCGGATATGAAAACACTTTTCAGTTCCGTGGATTCGAAGGCGTTATTTTACTATTTGAAAGACATCGGGCTATTTTATAGACTCTGATGTCTTTTAACCCATCTTACCATTTTTGACGTTATATATATATCGCATATTCCATATCATCTATTCGTTATCTCTTTTATTATTTTAACCCCTTTTTTTATTTTTTATTATCTACACATACAATGCGAATGCTTTTAAAATTAACCTCTTTATCTGATTCTATCTTCGCTACTCACATGTTTGTTAAAAAAAATCACCATGGCCCTTAATGACCACAGCCGTCGATTGGCCGTTAAACATAAACAAACAAACAAACAAACTATCCAGAGGAGATAAAGAATCTGTATGTCTGTCTGTCTGTCTGTCTTTTTGCTCGTAGTTCATATCAAACTAGTTTTGATCATGTCCATAACATCATGCCTGGTTGGCTCTTTTATCTTAGGACTGTACAGTAGAAATGTAGCTATTTCGTAGTATATTTCGTACATGTTCTGAAATCTGATAAAAATGTAAAGTGGGGTAAAAACTAGAATCCATGTCTTAACTCTGCAAGGTTACATCATGTACACTGTTTGTTACATCTTGAAATATTTGTTTTATGTTTATGATATCTGAAGACGTACATAGTTTATATAACTTCAATATAATTATATATGAGATTAGAATTACACTATTCCATATACTAGTAACACTTGATTGTTTTATTGTAGCGACGTTTATCTCAGATTAACGTATGAATCATCTGATACAGCTTACACGTACTTCATTTACTCGCTGTATTGTTTTTAATCTAACTGTAATTGGTTCAAATCGACTTAATTTCGTTCTTTACATCACTTCCATATTAATATTTCCAAAATCGTTTGCATTTCATATTCTATTGACTGTTTGTAAACTCACTTCACACACGTATTAAAATCTCGTATGACTGATCACGTGGTCACATGAACAGGAAGCAGATGAGTTTATCAGTTACTCTAATGTGTGTGACATGAACGTATTATAATGGGAAGGCCGGTAAGCTAAACGAAAACAAAATACTTACAAAAACACTTACGGATGATACAAGTATTACATCATTATTGTCCTAATCTTAATTAACAAAGAAAACATAACAATAACATTATTGCTCCTCTAAGATATTCTTAATATTTCTGAACACGTGTCTTCTGAAGCGTGACATATGAATACTTTATTCAGTATCAAACATGGCGTCTAATGACGATCACAGACAATTTCTCAATATTTACCACAAAAGATTAATTGATGACAAGTTACATGAAACAACAATCTACAACAAAACAAATGCTAGAAGATTGTACAAGTTTTACATTATAGGTAGAGGATATCTTCTCCGTTCTAGAGACCGTTTAATAAATCGGCAGGACGGGTGTTTTCATTCCTGATGACAGCTGGATTGTAGAGTCTGATAGTGAGTTATACGTACAAGATGATATATTGTACATACAAGATTTTTATAGTGATCCTTATACGTTGCCGTAATAAGTACACTGTACAGAAATGATTTGTTCACTTTCTTGTAGAAAATCATTTCTATCACACAAACTTCACAAATGTCGTGTTTTTATTTTATTTTTCTCTTGTTTTCTATGTGTGATTTTTAACAGCGAGTGTCTAGTTATATTGTGTTTACGTTTATCACTTTTATTAAAGTGTATGCCAGCTGATTGATGCTTTTGAAATAAGCCGTTAGATGGATTATATGATATTTTGGATCATTAAAGGGAGATTGATGTCATTTGCATGGATTTCATGAAGGTATTTGACAAGATTACACACCGCAGACTAATTGGAAAACCTAGGATTTACGGCATAAATGACCCAAGTCACTAATTGGGTAGAAAACTTTCTTAAACAAAGGAAATAAATGGTAATTGTAAATTGAAATTCATACAAAGACCATCCCGTATTAAGTGGAATCCCTCAAGGAAGTGTCCTAGGTCCAATACTATTTGTAATCTACAAAAAGGATCTACCAGAATGTTCCTTGTCGAATACCTCTTGTTTGCCGATGACACAAACATATAAAGAGAAATTATGAGCGTTGAGGAACGAAAAGTGTTACAACAAGATCTGGATAATTTACATGGCTTTTAAAATTTCAGCCTCTTAAATGTAAAGTACTTTCAATAAAAGGAAAGGAAGTTACCAAATGGCTAATGCAGGAGTAGATTAATTTAGACTGGAAAATATCTCATCTGCAAAAGACATTGGAGTATTGATTGACATGGATCAGGCAGTAAACAAAGCAAAAATCATTATGGGGCTTAGTAGACGATCATTTGTATATGTGGATGAAGTAACTTTTAAACAGATTTTCAAGGCATGGAGCCCCCACAAAGTTAAGACATTGAAACAATTGAGAAGGTGCAGCGAAGGGCAACGAAACTAATACCTGGGCTGAAGGATCTGTCCTACAGCGACCGTCTTAAGTAATTAGGAATCCCAACACTGACATACCGAAGAATGAGGGGTGGTATCATTAGCGTCTATACAATTTTGAACAATTTTCACGATATCGAAGTTACTGCTGGCATCTTTGATCAAGATTCAACGTCTAGAACAAGAGGACATACACAAAAACAGGCCGAAGGCCGAGGTGAATATTTTTCAGACCAGGTCCGTAAATCAGGGATAAACCGAAACTGAAGTCCACAATTGTTTTATTATATGACATTTTACAATGAGATTAATAATTTTCCAAGACATAAACACATGGATGGCATGGGTCATTTTGGAATCACAATGTGAAGGACTTCAAATAAAAATAGCATACACACAAATTTCATTTCAGATTCAATTCATGTGATATCTAATTTCAAGTAAATTATTATTTGCACAATCGACATCATCAATATTCACATAGTTCAGAATTTGATGAGATAATTCATTTGTAGTTGAATTCAGTAGTGTAATAGGTAACAGAATTACAGAATAGCTGGGAAATTGCCTGGGCCTATTTTTAGTAGCGTTCTGTAACACTTTTCTATTTATAGGTCGAGGTTTGTAACACTTTTCTATTTATAGGTCGAGGTTTGTAACACTTTTCTATTTATAGGTCGAGGTTTGTAACATATTTACAGACTCGTCACATGACGTCGCTCTTCAAATCAGGGCTGGGAATTAGCACCAGTCATAAAATCATTGTTGTGAAATATATGCGTAAACGATTGGTTTGTATTTCAATTTCAATTTTACTATTTATGACAAGATCAACAATTGAAATTTTACCCGATTAAGGTTATTGTAACCGGGATTGAAATGTGGGTTACTACCTCCACATTAGTTTCTCACTCCAGACATAATAGGATCAGTTTATCTTATTGACACGAACATATTATGTCATCAGATCATAACATATCTTCAATACGCCAAAATATTTCTTTTATAAACACGCAAAGTACATACAATCCAGCCAAAGGTCTAGTTAATGTGATATGACATTAACTCATCATATGTATATCTGTTGTATTATTTCATTTATTGTATAAAAAGTTATTCATTGTGATCAAATTATGCAATTTCTCAATTTATGTAAAATTTATTGTGGAGAGGGCCTTCGTAATGTTGATATAACTTGTGCCTAATCCGTTTGCTTCATTTATGCAATAAAATATGTTTGAATCAAAATTATAAACACACTCATGATAGTTTTTCATACACTATCTGTTTCTAAAAGCAGTCCTTATACACAGTTATAAAAACAATCCTTATAAACAGTTATATATTTTCATAAAACATGCATATTCTCAAACAAGTAATGATAGCGCTATCCTATCATCTTATTTAATTCAAATACATACATTTACATATCTTCCTAATCAACCATCAAAAACATTATTTGATTAACAGGTTGTATTTCCGTATTAAATACAGATACATGTACAAGTAAATAAAAACGTATTCCTGCATGTATGTGAAAGGGGAGACAAACTGCACAATGCCATAACACATCTGTCCTTGATTTATTTTGTGCTGGTGTGTAATATGGTGATCTTCTTTTCATCCCTTAAGATAAAGGGTACCACTGCATCATTTATTATAACAAAGAAGATATTCCATTGGAGTTTTGTCGACGTCGATATTGAAGACGACACTTCCCCTAAGCAGTTGTCTGCCTAAGAGTAAACAAGTTTAAATGTTCATGGTAAAAAAAATAGCAAACGTAAATATGTAACTTTATCATTTAGTTAGATTATATCTCAGAAGTTATGAACGAGTTATTTCTAGTAAGCACACTGAATGATAACCTCTGACGTTCACTCCAGCTGTCGTTTTTGAAATATTATGTTTCCAAGAGCACTGAAACATGAATGGGCGATATACAAACATACAACACAGATTTGCAATGCGGCCGTTAGTGACCGTCCTGAATCGATTAAATGGAATGTAACAGAAATTGATTGATATAAATTGTGTCACGACCGTAGGCGTCCGTATACTTCAATATGACGTACGAGGAATTGATATTCTTACTTAAACTTCTTGAGGGCGAGTTCTGGCAAATTATCTGCTTTCAATATATCGAGAATGCTGCCTATTGGAGTGACAAAAGTTTTCTTGTCAAGAAACCCAATGGCGATACCTAAACAAGCGTCTGGATAATAATGCTGGGCGTCTCTCTTCATGACAAAAACTGCCGAACCAGAATCACCACATTCAAAAAATTGTTTTCTGTTATATTCACTTATGACGAATTGTCCCTTCATGACATATTTGTTAAGAGAATCTCTTTCAATCCCAAGACGTGGAGAGTCCGGTAGTCTTATCTGACCATGCTTCCATGTCAGAATACCTACAGACAGCCCAGAACTTGCTCCCAGCTTCATGCATCTGATTGGGCGTTCACTCGAGGCTATGATAATAAAAAAAAATCGTCATGATATTAATTTACTTTAATACAGAAATACGAACCTGATGATTTTGATTATGCTTTTGTGATATATATAATGAATAGATACTATCCTTTGTTTTCTGATACATACAGCTATATTTCCTTGAATAGGATAGATAAAAAGAAAATGTATATTTGAAGAATGCAAAGAATGATACATAGATAAAAAAAAAGGACTTAATTTGTATCACTTCCGAACTTGACACATATTCTCTTTGCTGTTAAGTGTCTCTTTGCTGTTAAGTGTCTCTTTCCTGTTAAGTGTCAAATTACACATAACCTCCTTGCTTTAACGCTCCTCTATAATTTGAATTAAACTCTATATTTGCTGTAATGTTCCACTGTAACTAGAATGACGTATTGTATTTACTGTAATGTTCCAATATAACCAGAATGACGTATTGTATTTGCTGTTATGTTCCACTATAACCAGAATGACGTATTGTATTTGCTGTAATGTTCCACTATAACTTGAATGACGTATTGTATTTGCTGTAATGTTTCACTATAACTTAAATGACGTATTGTTTTTGCTGTAATGTTCCACTATAACTTGAATGACGTATTGCATTTGCTGTAATGTTCCACTATAACTAGAATGACGTAATATATTTGCTGTAATGTTCCACTATAACCAGAATGACGTATTGTATTTGCTGTAATGATTCACTATAACTTAAATGACGTATTGTTTTTGCTATAATGTTCCACTATAACTTGAATGACTTATTGCATTTGCTGTAATGTTCCACTATAACTAGAATGACGTAATATATTTGCTGTAATGTTCCACTATAACTTGAATGACGTATTGTTTTTGCTGTAATGTTCCACTATAACTTGAATGACTTATTGCATTTGCTGTAATGTTCCACTATAACTAGAATGACGTAATATATTTGCTGTAATGTTCCTCTATAACTAGAATGTTGTATTCGCTTTAATGTTCCACCATAACTTGAATGACGTATTGTATTTGCTGTAATGATCCACTTTAACTAGAATGACGTTTTGTATTTACTGTTATGTTCCGCTATAACTTGAATGACGTATTGTTTTCGCTGTAATGTTCCGCCATAGCTTGAATGACGTATTGTAGTTGCTGTAATGTTCGGCTATAATAAAAATTATTCCTAAAATATAATTTAATTTATCATATGAAGACATACGCCATATTCAGTAGTTTAAAAATGTTGTGTACAATATTCCTGATATTTGCGTCTTTGTTTCTGAGCATGAGAGTTATTTCCCTTTATTCGGAATTTAGAGTTATCGTTCTTTACCATTTCCTTTGAGCAGCCATCACGAGTATTCAGAAACCTTTAAGCCTTTTTAATCCCACCCTCCCTTCCCATTATTTTACGATTTCCTTCTGCTGTGTGTCTGCCTGTTATATATTCGCAGAAAGTTCCTTCCACTTGTCAAGACTTCGACCACTATGTTGGAGGTGCAGGACGATTTTTTCCTGGACAAAAGACTGCTGCCATGTGTTCATTACAGTTGTGCAAATTCGAGACTTTGGACAATTTTTATGCAAAAGTGTCAGCTTTTGAGTTTGGGGGAATATCCTGGTCCCAGTTTCCTCCATCTTTTTGGCTGTCGCAGCTGATTTTATCTTCGACAACAGATTGCTGTTGATTTTTTACAGACTTGTAAGTTAAGTCTTATTGAAATTTATAGTCAAATAGTTTCAGCTATTGAGTTTGGGGGAATATCCTGGTCCCAGTTTCCTCCATCTTTCTAGCTGTCGTAAGGTCGAAGTACTTGGCCATTATTCGCCACAACTTACTCAGTATATATAATTAATTAAAACCAAACAGTGAAATTAATTTTCGGTCTTTGTTATTATTTGATATGCTTCTATTTGATAATAAAAATTATTCCTAAAATATAATTTAATTTATCATATGAAGACATACGCCATATTCAGTAGTTTAAAAATGTTGTGTACAATATTCCTGATATTTGCGTCTTTGTTTCTGAGCATGAGAGTTATTTCCCTTTATTCGGAATTTAGAGTTATCGTTCTTTACCATTTCCTTTGAGCAGCCATCACGAGTATTCAGAAACCTTTAAGCCTTTTTAATCCCACCCTCCCTTCCCATTATTTTACGATTTCCTTCTGCTGTGTGTCTGCCTGTTATATATTCGCAGAAAGTTCCTTCCACTTGTCAAGACTTCGACCACTATGTTGGAGGTGCAGGACGATTTTTTCCTGGACAAAAGACTGCTGCCATGTGTTCATTACAGTTGTGCAAATTCGAGACTTTGGACAATTTTTATGCAAAAGTGTCAGCTTTTGAGTTTGGGGGAATATCCTGGTCCCAGTTTCCTCCATCTTTTTGGCTGTCGCAGCTGATTTTATCTTCGACAACAGATTGCTGTTGATTTTTTACAGACTTGTAAGTTAAGTCTTATTGAAATTTATAGTCAAATAGTTTCAGCTATTGAGTTTGGGGGAATATCCTGGTCCCAGTTTCCTCCATCTTTCTAGCTGTCGTAAGGTCGAAGTACTTGGCCATTATTCGCCACAACTTACTCAGTATATATAATTAATTAAAACCAAACAGTGAAATTAATTTTCGGTCTTTGTTATTATTTGATATGCTTCTATTTGATAATAAAAATTATTCCTAAAATATAATTTAATTTATCATATGAAGACATACGCCATATTCAGTAGTTTAAAAATGTTGTGTACAATATTCCTGATATTTGCGTCTTTGTTTCTGAGCATGAGAGTTATTTCCCTTTATTCGGAATTTAGAGTTATCGTTCTTTACCATTTCCTTTGAGCAGCCATCACGAGTATTCAGAAACCTTTAAGCCTTTTTAATCCCACCCTCCCTTCCCATTATTTTACGATTTCCTTCTGCTGTGTGTCTGCCTGTTATATATTCGCAGAAAGTTCCTTCCACTTGTCAAGACTTCGACCACTATGTTGGAGGTGCAGGACGATTTTTTCCTGGACAAAAGACTGCTGCCATGTGTTCATTACAGTTGTGCAAATTCGAGACTTTGGGATATTTATATACAAAAGTTTCAGCTTTTGAGTTTGGGGGAATATCCTGGTCCCAGTTTCCTCCATCTTTTTGGCTGTCGCAGCTGATTTTATCTTCGACAACAGATTGCTGTTGATTTTTTACAGACTTGTAAGTTAAGTCTTAATGAAATTTATAGTCAAATAGTTTCAGCTATTGAGTTTGGGTGAATATCCTGGTCCCAGTTTCCTCCATCTTTCTAGCTGTCGTAAGGTCGAAGTACTTGGCCATTATTCGCCACAACTTACTCAGTATATATAATTAATTAAAACCAAACAGTGAAATTAATTTTCGGTCTTTGTTATTATTTGATATGCTTCTATTTGATAACTTGAATGACGTATTGTTTTTGCTGTAATGTTCAACTATAACTTGAATGACGTTTTGTATTTGCTGTAATGTTCCACTATAACTTGACTGACTCAATATCCCGTTTGCTGTTTCTACATAAAAGAGCTCCGCATGCATTAGTACCGAACAACCACGTAGGGTATATCCTAATGAATATCCTTATAAAATCTTGTTAATAATCAATAAGCAAGCACAGTTCATTTTGATGGAATATTGTGAAAACAGTTCTGTAAATACTTACACATTGCATCCAGATATGATGCATCTGCTTGTTTTCCAGAGGTAAATGTGGGTGGGTGTTTCCAGTCCATTTCTGTTAATGTATCAATATATATCAAGCACAAAAAGATACCTGTATAACATTGCAACTGTTTGCAGTGCAAACTGTTTGAGTTTTGTATTCGTAGTATTGAGACAAAAAAAAAATCAAAAAATCCTAAACTGATAAAGTAAGGAATAAAGGAATAATTCGACTGCTTCTATCTTTGTTGTAATAACTGCCTGGAGCAGGAATGAAAATTTGGTACTCAATGTCTCTATCACCCAGCTTTGTGGGCGTTCTTTTGAAGAGTAACGAAAGAAAAGTAATTATATAATACTTCTTGGGAAAAGGCAACAAATACTGTTCTTACTGGGGTTTTGTTACCAGTAAAAGTCTATACAAACCCTTTACAATTATATTAGGGAAGCGATTCATGAACTAGGTCTGCTGAATTGGTCAGCATGGGGATATCTTTTCACTCGATACGTACATTGTATATCTACCATCTGTTAATGCCGATTTATTGTACTAAGGGACGAGTGCTTTGTGTTTGTTTGGTAAAATTAGTGTTGTTCATTTTGAATATTTATTGAGATTTGTCTTACTTGCGTTTCGGAGATGAATATGCTTTATGTCATCAAAGGACCCATCACATGGCGCTCTGTCTTTGTCAATTTCCACGATTGCTGCATCTATGCCGGTTTCTAACGTGGAGTCAAATCTAGCTCGGACTACTTTTCCACACTCCCAGTACACATTCCTTCTGTAAATAAAGCAATATTGTAATATATAACTTTTAGTCCCTGTTTAAACAAGAAGGCTATTCCCAAAGACTTTTTGTATTTAAGAAGATATTTAGGTGCAGAATATTATATTATGAGGAAATTGTGGTGTTTCTCAAACTTGATTTCAATATGTTTTTATGCTTTACTGGAGCCATGTTAGGAATAAAAACAATTGAGCCCAACACTTAGGTTAAACATACCCATTTTCGTCATCGTCATCATCTTTACAAACGGGGTCATCATCGATTTCCATATATGTAACTCCCCTTAAGACTTTTTCACTAAAGTGGTCAAAAGGAGCGATGACGTCAGCACCACATCTTTCTTGTGAACAACTGAAGTGTATGGGCTGTTTCCCCTCGGATATAGCCTGGTTATAAAACAGATGAGCACATGTTATGAACCCAGTTTTACCGTTGCCCATTTCAACGAAGGATCCAACTGTTCCTACATACGCTGTGATGGCAATGGATTGTGATTTGCATAAGTGCATTCCTAATTTCAACGAAAGATGTTCATCAGTTTTCATTGGATTTCTCTTTGTCGCTTTTTTGGACGAAGCAGATGCAGCACAGACACACGTGGTGGCATCTTGCTCTCCTTGGTAAGCCTTGGATGGAATCACTCCAGAGACACCTGGTGAGGATTTTGTGTGTCCATCGTTTTCGGATGGAATCACTCCAGAGACACCTGGTGAGGAATTTGAGTGTCCATCGTGTTCAGATGGAATCACTCCAGAGACAACTTGTGACGAATTTAAGTGTCCATCGTTATCGGATGGTGTTAATCCAGAGACAACTTGTGACGAATTTGAGTGTCCATCGTTTTCGGATGGAATCACTCCAGAGACAACTTGTGATGAATTTGAGTGTCCATCGTATTCGGATGGTGTTAATCCGGAGACAACTTGTGACGAATTTGAGTGTCCATCGTTATCGGATGGTGTTAATCCAGAGACACCTGGTAAGGATTTTGAGTTTCCATGGTCAGTGACCAAGGGCAAAGGGCTTAAACTGAATTCCCCCTCAAGTACTGCAACAGGCATTGTTCCTTTCTCACATTTTAATTCAGTTGGAAAGCAGTTGCTCTCATGGGGAACGTATCCCTTGTGTGAACAGTGTAGAATGATGTGTCCTGTAGGTTTGGCTTCTGGACATTTCACACTTGTTAGGCTTCCAGCAGTGATTGCATTTAAATTCGGATGCTGATCCCAAAGGTAGTCAGCCCATAAGTCAATTACTGACTTACATTTGTCTTCCTCATCTTTTGTCATTTCAGTTGTCTCTATCCAGTTGCTCTCCGGGGATATATCCGTGTTTATGATGACAACGCTTACGCCATGTATGTCTTCTTTCTTCTCAATTTCATCAACATCTTCCGAACATCCAAGGCAAACTCGTTCAATCGGTAGATTCTTGTGAACTGTGTATGTCGGTTCAAAGCGAGCACCAACATCTTTATGTCTTCTTTCTGCTTCCCTACAGACTGATTCAAGCAACGCTGACTCGGTTTTCATTCCATAAGACAATTTGATGCAGGTGTCCATTGAAGGATATCCTGGATTTCTTTCAGTAAGTACCTGCACTATTTCCTTCAAGTTGAGGCGCACAGAAAGAGTGAGTGGTGACAATGTCATGCGCGATTTTCCCTTCCACTCTGTATAGACAAAGGCAGGAAGATAATGTGTCGGACGGGATGCAGCATTGGCTCCGTGGTCCAGCAGCATTTTTACTATTTTGGTTTCTCCTAAGAGAATTGCAAGATGCAATGCTGTCCATCCAGCTTCATCCTCAGCGTTCACATCTTCTATTCCACGGTTCAGCATGTTTTGAAGTGCATCACTACGTTTGTGAAGGATTTCATGATGCATTGGAAGGCAATCTGTTATAAGAAATAGTAAAGTAGTTGTGAAATACAAACGACTGAATGGCGAGCATGCCTCCTTTTTGAAAAACCATATAAACTATGATAACAAGCGGATGTTCATTACACTATAGCATAGAAGTATTTGGCAAAGAAAGTCCTCATGATGTCTGATCTAGTCAAACATTGTCCTATGAAAAGATATTAAAAACAAAGTCCTTAACCGAAGGCGCGAGAGACGTACAAAGTTTCACTTAGACGGTAACTTAAATTAACATCAGCTCAAGGGTATCTAACAAATTAACACAAACACAAGGCGCCTAAGTAACTGACACCAAAGACAGGAAACATCAGTCATTAAAACAAAATCCGAGGATTATGATTATTAAATAGGCTTCATAGGTAATCAACACAAACTAAAAGTATTTTTTTTGTACACAAACAAAAAGTAACTGGGGACCTCAGTAATTAACAAAACGTAACAGGGGGCCTCAGTAATTACCACACAGTAACAGGGGTCCTCAGTAATTAACTAAAAGTAACAGGGGACCACAGTAATTAAAAAAAGTAACAGGAGACCAAAGTTAATAACACAAGCAAACAGGGGACCTCAGTAATTAACTTAAAGTAACAAGGGGGCCCCAGTATTGAACACAAAATTAACAGGGGGCCTAAGCAAAAAAACACAAAGTAACAGGGGACCTCAGAAATTAACATAAAGTAACAGGAGACCTAAGCAAATAACAAAGTAACAGGGGACCTAAGCAAATAACAAAGCAAACAGGGGACCTAAGCAAATAACAAAGCAAACAGGGGACCTAATCAAATAACAAAGTAACAAGGGACCTCAGAAATTAACATAAAGTAACAGGAGACCTAAGCAAATAACAAAGTAACAGGGGACCTAAGCAAATAACAAAGTAACAGGGGACCTAAGACCTAACCAGAAGACAGTCCCTATCGGGATGTCTTTAGAAAAAAACGTGTTTGAATCGTATCATACCAAAAATAATTACGCAACCAACCCGATGTAAATATAAAGCTTCAGAAGTATTATTTTTGGTGGCAAGGACGTATTCATCATGGAACCGAAATGTACATACCGTAAGGCAACCTCTTCCCGCTAAGTTTTGAACACTGCAGATCGGAACGAATTATGTACGGTAACGATGTATCTGCAAGAAACTTGCTTGTGTGAATGTGAATGAATTTAAGTGGGTCTTCCCCTGGAATTCCATGGGCTGCGTTTATAAGGTGCTGTGCAGCTAGTGTGAATACTTTCTGAATAGACTCCTCGTCATTGGAGGGCGATACAACCACTACCACGTCTATGGCATCGGGATTCACGTGTAATTTGTTTGTCAATTCATCCTGTAAATATATATATTTAAAACAAATGTCTAACTGACAGCTCATGAAGTCAGAAATTGCGAAAATCTGGCTAAAACATATTACTGTATAATTAAAAGAACACGAAATTAAATCACTGCCATCAACAGATGTTTAACGAATGTCAATGTCGGAATTGGTGTATGAAACTTGTTCACTTTGCTTTTGTAATTTACTGTTAAAACTTGAATTATTCTAAGGAGACCAAAGTGTCCCGCAGTGTAGCAGTGTTGCCTTCTTTGTCAATCAAAACACATTTCCCCTATAACATTAGGACCAAAGAAAGTATCACTAGAAATGCAAAGTAAGAAAGCGGTTGTTTGGAATTTTAGTAAGCCTGTACAGATAGCCAACTCATGCTGTAGGTACCTAAACAAAAACCGAGACATATGCCTACAGACATTCCACGGTAGGTACCACAACAAAAACCGAGACATATGTCTACAGACATTCCACTCATGTTGTAGGTACCTAAACAAAAACGAGACAAATGTCTATTGATAAAGTTGTACATCAATATACAATTTACAATACTTAATTATATATGTCAAATTATAAGAGATTATTTTCTCAAAATAATCTCTGTATAAAAATTGAATAAGGAAATGTTTTGAGAACAGATTGAAGCAGTATTAATAAACTCAATAACAACTTACGCCTCCTATTGCCAAAAGAAATTCACGTCTATCCACTGCTTCAAAATGAAGAATCACCACACGTTGCTCGGATTGCCCTTGTTTATATACGGCTGGTTTATCTAAAATAGAAAAACAAGAGGCTTAGCTCAATTCAACACTTCATTTTATCATCGCAGCCTGCAGTTGTTAAGAAAATGGTACAGTCTGTTTAAGTTTTTTGTTATACTTGCAAATGTCAAATATCTTAGTAATGGTAATCAAATATTCAAAAGCTCTGTGTATACTTGAACAAATTTAGTAAACCTATTACCTATTCACTGTCATTAAACCGATACACGTGGCTACAGTAACAACCGATACACGTAACTACAGTTACAACCGATACACGTAACTACAGTTACAAGCGATACACGTAACTACAGTAACAACCGATATACGTAACTACAGTTACAACCGATACACGTAACTACAGTTACAACCGATACACGTCGCTACAGTTACAACCGATACACGTAACAATATTTACAACCGATATACGTAGCTACAGTTACAACCGATTCACGTAGCTACATTTACGGATATGGGTTAACAGCAATGCTATTAAGCCCATGCACGGCGTATTCTGAAGCAGATTAGAAATATTTATTCAAAAAATTTAATATATCTATAATTATTTAATATAACGGAAGATACCTACCTTCACTTTCAAAATTGCATTGCCTTTGTACATCAGACGGACTTTTGTCTTCGATTGATAGACTTCTTTCCTGCAAACATCGACGGAGACGATGACTTCCTGTCAGTTTAACATATCTGAGCAAACGTTTTACTGTAGCGTCTTTGTTGGATTTACACAGCGTAGATGTATCCCCGTCCTCTTTCAGAAGATCGACGAGTGCTCCAACATCCCCTGTCAGATCTACACAGTCAAGCACAGACATATCATTTACATTGGCTTTAGGGCTCCTGTTGCGTATTTCACGAAGAATTGGTTTTATCTTTGCTCCCTGTCTGATCAGGTGGCACACAACTGTCTGCTTGTTGAACTTTCTATCAAACGCATATTCCAGTGGTCGTTTTCCATATCTATCTAAAGCTTCTATATCTGCCTTGAATTCCAGTAAAAGGTCAATCATTTTAGTACTGTAACTGTCACGAGACAATCGATGTAATGGTAAAATGCCGTTCCTATCAGAGATATCGGTTCTGGCGCCGTGTTCTAGGAGTATTCTACAAATTGTGGGGTGTTCATTGTCCTTCCTCGAGGCCAGGTGCAAGGCTGTTTCACCATTGCCATCTCTAGCATTGACATCTACAGAGTGCTGTTCCAAAAGTACGGTGACAACGTTAGCAAATCCTTTGTTAACTGCAACATGCAGTAAAGGAGAGTTTCTGAAATTTTCAAATTTTGCACCATATTTAATTTTTTGAAGAAACCACACTCCAAGATCTTCATGATCACGGAATATTGCATGCTTTAAAAGGATTTTTAAATTCACATTCAGTTTTTTTCGCGAATATAAATACTCGAGATCCTTACGTTTATTGTGTTGACTGGCATAAATAAGCATTTTAATTTTTGGACGGTCTGTATATTTCTTTTCTTTTGGACAGCTGTTCAACATTTCGATATAATCTCGCATTTCCATCTTGTATAGTTCATCGCTCATTTCGTGTGATTTCGCTTTGGTAGTGTTTTTATTCTTCATTTTTTCTTTCCGTTTTGAAACATTGCATGTGGGATTATGGCAGGGCTTTTTATACGCTTTCTGCCTTTGCTTCTTTTCCATGGTTTCATTTAAAGAGTAATCACGTTTTCTGAAAAGTAAAAAAACGAAGATGTGTTAAGAGGTAATATAGGTGAAACTAATAATTAGAGGTACGGCACCGAGTATACAATATATGTCAGCCAATTAAACTGATATTTACTTTATGTTAACCATATAATGCAATACTTAACGAGATACAGAATGACAACAACAGCGCAAGAGAGACATCTAACAAATAGGACAGACATCACATCCCCTAAGATAGCACAAGAGGAGAAATCATATACTCATACAACACATCCCTGAGTATAACACAATAGGAGAAATCTTATACTCAGACAACACATCCCCGAGTATAACACAAGAAGAGAATTCTTATACTCGGACAACACATCCCCAAGTATAACACAAGAAGAGAAATCTTATACTCAGACAACACATCCCCGAGTATAACACAAGAAGAGAAATCTTATACTCGGACAACACATCCCCAAGTATAACACCAGAACAGAAATCTTATACTCAGACAACACACATCCCCAAGTATAACACCAGAGGAGAAATCATATACTCAGACAACACATCCCCGAGTAGAACACCAGAGGAGAAATTATATACTCAAGTAGTGTTCCGTTAGTTATAAACACATATTCTCTGTACCTAATGGTTTAAACATATAGCAAATCTAAACCAATGAAGAGCTTCTCTGATCTGTTTTGAGATTCAACGAGCAAATTCAGACACATATATGATGATTACGTAGCTAATTTTGCCCTCGTGTCAATCAAAACTGTCAAACATTGTGGAATATATTTTTTAGATTTAAAATGCATCAAGATTAATATATATACACATTGTACATGCATAAATAATTTTCAGAGTTTTTCAATGATATAAAGAACATAATAAAACGTTTTACTCGACTTCCTAGTTGTTAGTAACGGATGTTTTTGTACTCTTGATGGATGACTATATAGAGAATGTTTCTTGTTTTTGACGAAAACCTGTCATATTTCATTGATGGGGAAGAACACTTTGATGTTATTCAACAGTATGACGAGTGAATAATATGAAAATGTTTATCCAAGAGGTTGAAATTGAGAAAAGAATAAAAGGATATTTTTACTCATATTACAGTTTAACAACCAGCAAGAAATGACCGAGCTAGGCGTCAATGGCGAATCATTTTCTCGGGTAAAAAACCTGTAAGATGTAAGACTGTAAGACAAAGAATAGGTCATATATGCGACAAAAATACTTAGTTTATTATATGCATTTAAAATTCGGTTTATTAGAATTTCAACTCACTAAAATTAAAAAAATTAAACATTATTGTTTAAGATGTCAATAGTTAAACAAAAATGATTATTTTACTTTCATATAAATTCTACATAATCATTACTAGGTCGCCGATAGATATACATTTCCAATCATTTGAGTTTGTTATATATTGGCAGAACATCATATTATTTTAATTTCAAGATACAAAAATGCCTGTCATGTTTTATAACCAGTTGTCAGTTGATACAGACACTGACATACTGTGGCCCGAGTGGATTATACTGTGTACTACATACACTGACATACTGTGGCCTGTGTGGATTATACTGTGTACTACATACACTGACATACTGTGGCCAGAGTGGATTATACTGTGTACTACATACACTGACATATTGTGGTCCGAGTGGATTATACTGTGTACTACATACACTGCCATAATGTGGCCCGAGTGGATTATACTGTGTACTACATACACTGACATACTGTGGCCCGAATGGATTATACTGTGTACTACATACACTGACATAATGTGGCCCGAGTGGATTATACTGTGCACTACATACACTGACATACAGAACATTTAAGATATCACATATAGTATACCTTAATATATTAACAACATCCCGTGCTTTGCCGTACATATGTCACATGGTTTTTGTGATTGATATTGACACTGGTTTTGACCACAATAACGGCGGCCTAGTTATAAATGTACTTCAATATTGCAGATAAGCCGTGTATAAAATGAACCTACTTACATACACCCCTACCTGAAGTTAGTAACTTCCTTTTAAACAAATAGTTTGTAATTGATATCAATGACACGATACCAGTGTTTTTGTTTTTCACGTGAGAGATATAAGGATCGATCAATCAATCGATACAATCAGCGATGTTGACACGTAACACAGAAAGACGTCAGGAGGGCCTACCTAAATTTAAACACCCCAAAGACATCGAGCGTTATTTGTATTTAACGCTCTGACATACAATAAACCGTTTACCTGTCGGTTACGTGTGTAGTATGGCTGTAATTTGTACTTATCGCTCGTACAGTTATTAAACCTGTTATCACATTAATGATAGCAGGAGGTATATCTGTTACAGTTATGACTCGGAGTTGCTTCCTCCGTTCAATCCTAGTAAGTGTTATTTGTTTGAGGAAACTTGATGGTGGGACTCGGAAAATGGCAAAGTCTAGCCCTGTTACATATTTATTATATACATTGTGTGACTATGTTAATGAATATTATTCTGACGACATGTTTATCAACAAGAAGGCAACACTATGTCATATAACACTAGAAAAGAAAACACTAATATACTCACAAATAATATTATACACATTGTCGAATGCGCCAACGTTCATAAAATTTTCGTCTTTCTTCCTGGTCGTCAACGTATCTAGACCTATACACACAGCCATCCTGTTATCGTTACAGGGACATATGGGCCATCCGTGTCATTGGCAATCCTGTGTTTCTATTGGGTAAAGACAGAAGAGTCTAAATATAAATGTCAGTGCTTACGTGAGTGCAATATATTTTAAATGCACCAACTGTGTAGGAACGTATGAAGTGTGTACGTGTGTAATACATGAACGTCGACAATAAACCCTATTCTATACGTGTGATGCAATGTGTACAGGTGTTTTATACCAAGTGTATATGAGGGTGTTGCATTGCGTACTCATGTGTGTTATACAATTTGTACGGGCGTTATACATTTGTTTACTTGTTTTACAATATGTTGACGTGTGATGTACAATGTGTATGTACATGTTATACAATTTGTATACGTGAGTGTTTAACAATATGTACACGTGTGTTATGTTATACATATGTTGACGTGTGTAATGCCACACGTGTATGCGTGTGTGAGACCATGTGTGTACCTGTGTTATACAATATGTACACGTGTGTTATGTTATACATATGTTGACGTGTGTCATACCACACGTGTATGCGTGTGTGAGACCATGTGTGTACCTGTGTTATACAATATGTACACGTGTGTTATGTTATACATATGTTGACGTGTGT